AAATGACTAAAGGTTACTGTGCATTGTGCCTTGTCTTAATATACTTATTATTTTACACTAACTGTTTTAATTAAATTATTACAGTTCTGCACACACACAAAAAAAGTTTATTTGGATGCTTTGGACATCAGAGCTATTGTTGAGTCTACTGTTATCCTTAGAAGAACCTTGGCAAAATTTTTGTGATGCAGCTGAACCATACTTAACTCACTTTGGCTCACTTGGAAGAGATTCCGGATACTGTAGGTGTCCAGAAGTCTTATTCGGAACCCAAAGTCTGTGCATGTTGCTTTTGGAAATCCATCATTTTTATTTCCAAGAGCTTGAAATAAAGAGAATGAAGAGTAGGTAGAACTTCAGGATTTTTAAAAAATATACCATTAACTGTGAGAAGGGTTTTATAGGAATTCTTATGTAAAATGTATATTTTATATTTCTAGGCTTGCAGTTATTTTAGTTTATAGCGTTAACCCAGTTGGTCATGATTTTCTTGTTATTCTTCTATGTGTTTTCCTAACCCTCTTAATAGAAATTAGATTAGATAAAAATAAATGCTACAACCAGTTGATAAGAAGGGAAAACCCTCGCTGTGATCATTATTCCATCTGCTGTATGCCAGTAGCTAACAGAAACAGATGGCACTTTATTCAACCTTGTTTATATAGGCAAACTTTTATGCATATTTTATGAGCTTTAATATGATTGTTTTCAACATATTGTTCTATAATTGGAAAAGAAATACTTATTTTTTTAGAATATATATGTACACTTTATATGTATAAAATTTATAGTGAAGCATTTTGAACAGCTACCTGACAGTGACTAGCATTTATTCCCTGTATAAGTCTGAGGATATTTAGCTTTACAGAGGTTTTCAAAGTTTGATTAATTTGTCCTAATTAACATTGAATTTGAAATTTTGCTCAAGAATAAGCATTTTCTCTTTTACATAAATTACATAGGGAGACATTCTTTATGTTTTATCTGGTTAAATAATGGCTTATTTATTATCATTTGTATAAATGTTGATTTGTCATAAAAAGGTAACGTTAAATTTAGAGAAAACTGCATATATGAATGTGCAAAACCCATCTTATGATATTAAAGATGTGGAGGCACTGTCTTTTAGTTTTAAATTCAACTCATTTGTCAAATGAATCATTCTAACCTTGGGAGAATCATCATGCATCAAACTTAATTGTAAATTAAAATAACCCTAGCTCTTAAGAATTAATTTAAATGTGTTACATGTTTTCTATCTAAATGAAGTGATTGAAACATTTAATTATTTGTTGCAGATGAATAAACTATTAAAATGATGCCTGATGAGTAAAAGTACTGTATTCTTTTCTAACTTAGATACTTAATATCAATTCATTCTCTTGGGGATGTTTTTTTCACCTCCTGTTTTCAAGTAAATGTACCATAGACAGACAAAGAGCCAGGTGATCTAAGCTGCTCAGACTGCATTGTTCCCTGGGCAAATAAAGTTCTTAAAATAAAACAAAACAGAAAAAAAATAGGGATGTGTCAAGATGTAGCATGAGCTTCAAACTTTCATTTACCTTTTATAGCTCAAAAATTCTAAAAGGAATTACAATTTGAAATTGAACCCTCAGCTGATCATTTCTAACTAGATAATTAACATATCTGTGTTAACTTCTAAGACACATAATATTAAATAAAATTCTTCTTTCCATGTTATCTATACCCCGCTGCTTTATTTTGTTTTTAAAATAGGGTCAGCTTCACCCTGGCTGGTGTGGCTCAGTGGATTGAGTATCAGCCTGTGAACTGAAGGGTTGTGTTGTTCGATTTCTGGTCAGGGCACATGCCTAGTGTGAGGGCCAGGTCCCCAGATTGGGGAGCCGATCTATGTTTCTCTCACACAATGATGTCTCTCTTCCTCTCTTTTTCCCTCCCATTCCCCTCTCTGAAAATAACTAAAATAAAAAAAATAGTGTTTCAGCCTCAATGTACATCATGAAGTAACCACCTGGTTATGAATACTTCTGTACATCTAAGATGGGGCAGGTTCTTTGATCATTGAAATTTGTTGGGTGAGCCAAACATGTTCTTGCTTTTCTTTCTTGTTGCTTTTCTTGCATCATCTCCCACTTATTAACTCCCTTTAGATTTTCTGATTCATTCAGAGGCACCATGTTTAACATATGTTCTGTTGTGATCATAGGCAGTTGTGAGTTGTCATGGCTATTTCATTAAAACTAGAAAGAACCAACAGCTCTTGGCATCTTCTTGGAGGACTTGGTATTGTGAAGAGTTGTGTTTGAATGCAATCACCTTACCTTTTCTCTTTGTAAATATTGGTGATGTGATTAATGCTAAAGAAACCTGCTATAATTTACTTTGGTAATGGATCATGGTAGTCATTATAATGTGTAGGGTAGCAAATTGGATAGAATACAGTGTTAGTTTGAAGTATTGAGGTATAATTCTCTTATATACTTGTTTTGAAATGTAAGAATTCTTCATTTAGGCATTATGATGTTACAGTGTAAATATTCAAGTGAGAGTAAGAGATTTGTTTTCTCATGATAATTTTGGTCATCTCTATTTGGGATTAAATTTATTAATCTTGGGTTCGTCATATAAGAAAAAAAACACTGAATTGCAGGTTGAGATAACCTAGGTTTGAAGTTTACCTCTGTTAGGTATCAGCGGTGCGATCCTCAAGCCCTTCCCTGGACTGCGTTTCCAGAGCTCTGAGATGCTGTCATTTCACGTTGCTTGTAATGTTGTGTTTCTGGCTGGAATATGTTTATGTTGCTTATGGTTAGTTATTTAAAATTACTATAGGAATACATCAGTGATTACTATTTGGTAATAAATGCACTTAATTTAAAAATGACTGTTTTAGGTAATTATAAATACAATTACTCAGTTTTAAAATAGTACTTTAGTTAAATATATACAGTGATATAAGAAGGAGTTTATAAATACAGAGAAATGTAACTTAAGCCATTGTGTTAGGATCACTTACTGGAATTATTGTGCTTTATGATACTAATTGTAATATGAGCATGAAAAACTTCCAGTTCATAGAGTCATTCCAGATGATTGAAGATTTAAAGTATTAATTAAAAATGGTAAATAATTGTATATTTTCAAAATAATTGATAACATGAACTTGGAGTGTTCACATATATACTTCAAAAATTAATTCGCTGGCTAGATGATTCAAAAACTAAATGATTCATTTGCTACTTCATTACATAAAAGAGGGGTTGAATGAAAAAAATATATGGGAATGAGTGAGGCGTTCTGAGCATTCTGAAAGAGTTATAGAACTAAAATGAGTAATTTGAATATTTTCCCTTTGATATTGGTTATTCTGGTCACCTCACTGAAATTCCCTACATGCAAAAATTATGCAAATTAAAATATATCTTATTAGAGAAGGGAACAATAATTTACCCTTTTGTCTATTGTTTCATCATTTGTATTATCTAGCAAATCGTGTGTGAATTTTAATCTAACCACTTACTTATTTTATTACAACAAATGTATTCAGCCTTTATGTAATATATAATGTATTAAGGTTAATTGGGTTTGCGAAGATGAGAATGGCATGCTCCTTACCAGTTTGGGGATGAACTGTGTTGGGGGACAGAAACTGAGGCATAAAGGAGAGGGATGTCACCGAAGGGAAAGATGGATATGTAAAGAGCTAGCCATAAAGTTTTAGTTAGAACTTAGATAAGTGTTGTCAGTATTAAGGATTTTACTGCACTTATGTTCTCAAACTCTGATGTGTGCGTGACTTACTTGTGGATCTTGTTAAAAGGCAGATTCCAGTTCAGTATGAAGTAAGAATTAAGATTCTAAATTTCTGCCAAGCTCTTAGAGAAGGCCAGTGCTAAATAAGCCATGACTGATATTTTGAGGAGCAAGGCTCAGTACTGGTCTTTGGGATTAAGAATACATGCAGGGTCTGCATTTATAGACTTCTCCTTGATACAGTGTTATTTTTTCTTCCTGGATAGAGTGTTGCTTTTTCTTCCTAATTCCTTACACAGTTGTGATTAAAACATATTAATTGGCAATGCAAATGTAAATGAATAGTTTATAAATCACTACTTTTCAATGACTAATTCCATCAAGTCTTGGTTGTCTAGGGGCAGATTAGAGTAGTATGCAACTAGTGATGGTATTAAATAACAAGGGACTTGGTAGTATGAATGGCAACATCAGTACTTTAGGAACATCAATGTATTTACATTGGATAGAAATTCTATTTAGAATTATTTGGTAACTGCTCTAACTTGGAAATGTTCCTTGGTCTCAACACAGTAATTTGTGGGAGTATACCTCCTTTCTCCTCCATTATCTGAAGAGCAGTAGTCTGCACATGGGATTATAGGTCTACAGAGTCTGTGCTAAGGGGGTGGAGATTTTTTAACATCTTGGCTGTAAATACTTTTGCATTTCATACTTTATTACTCCTAAATGTTTGGATGTTGTCTTTCACATGGTAAGTGTGTTCTGAAATATAGGATGTAAATTTTAATTAAATAAATTAATTATAGCATGTTTTAGTTGGTTCTGTTTTAACAAATATTTGGGACACCTGAGCTCCTTGTCTCTCATGTTCTGGGCTGTTAAAAATTGATTGTTTTTGTTACACAAACATGCATGCACATACACACAAACGGACATATAGTAGATATAGTATGAGTCTAGGTTTAGCATTTCTGCTCTAGAAGTCTCATAAATTTTGAAAATTTAAATTCTCTGCATAAATCAAAATTGTGTGACATATATGAAATATTGAAAAAAATTCTTCAAATTAATTTTGGAGAGCTTTTTTTCCTATCAGATACTTGTGTTATTTAAAAGTAAAGCGCTATAAATTTGTTTTGTTTTTATTTCCTGTGGCATAAATTGTAACAGTGCAATAGAGCATTACAGTATTAATTAGAAATACTAATTTTTCAAGTGTTTAAGCTAAGCAGTTGTGGATTTTTTCTTTTTCTTTTCAGAGAACAAGAGGACGAAAACGAAGCTTCATTCCTGATGAAGAAAAACATGAGGTTGGAATAAGTTAAGCATGTTTTACATAGTATAAACTTTGATAAACTTTTATGCTCAAAGTTATTTCTGTTTTTCTTATATCCTGATATTGTTTTATGTTTTGTTCTCCCTGGGATGGCAGGAAAGAGTTCCTAGAGAGAGAAGACAGAGGCAGTCTGTGTTACAGAAGAAGCCCAAGGCTGAAGATTTACGAACTGAATGTGCTACGTGCAAGGGAACGGGAGACAATGAAAATCTTGTCAGGTAAGTTGTATGCTGAGACCTTGTCTTCAGGGGGTTACCGTTGCCTTTTCGTCATTTTTTTCATCACAAATATAATGGGGGGGAAAATCACAGGACAGGACCTTTTCTTGACCTTATTTAGTGGAAGCAGTACTTCAGGAGCAGATTTCACCTGCTTATTAACCTGCCACACTTGGTTATTCTCTGGAGTTAGATGTAATTAGGAGCGACAATCTGAATTTTGAACATAAGAGAATTAACATTCTCCTGATAGGAGAAGTTGACAACATTCCGTATTTAGAAGCCACAAAAGCAATTTCATCTAAACACTTTGCACTGAGATTATTGTTTTGTCTCATTAAACAATAAAAATTACTAAGTTCTCTTAGCATGTTCTAAAACTTGAAGTTTATTAGCAATAATGATAAGATAGAGATACTTTTTATTGATAGGAGCTTTATCACTCGTTCCTTACTGTTTATCAAAACAAATGTGTTAAATGCTTCTCTCTTGTGAAATAAAGAAAGGTGAAAAGATGGCCAGATAGATTTTATTTTGTTTTATGTTTTGTTTTCTCCTCTGTTTTGTTTTGGTATCCTTTTTCTTTTTTTTAGCTAACATAATGCTAATCAGGGATCTCAGCTGATGTTGCACTGTGGCTATTCCTGATGGTCCAGACACTGCTAATTTTAGCCATTTGCCTCTTTTGCTGAGATGAAGGAATTGCTCAAAGCCCTGTGTGAGATGGAAGAGTGGGTGGGTGAACTCAGGAGACCTCATTTAAAAGAGTTATCACTCTTTCAAAGGATAGTGACATAAATAATCTTTTAGTATGTCAGGGGAACCCTTTCTGCTCTCTTGAAAAAATTGCCTTTTTATAAACCTGTATTAAATTACCTGAAGGCACAGAAATTAAATGTTTCAAAAACACTACCTCAATAAAATAGCTATTAATACTGTTATGTAATTTTAAATATTTACTTCCAAAATGATGTCATTTATTTGTCTTTAAAAGTATAATTTCTATTTGTTTTCATTGCTCAAATAAAGGCAAAACGTTTCAAGTGTATGAGTTTTTTATACTCTCATCGAAGAAGATAAGGAGAGAATTAAAATTACAGGGAAGAAATACAAAGCGCTTCAACAAAGTCAAGAGAGTCTGTGACATTTGGCCAGTGCTTTTTGACTGTCTTGTGAGCTCTCCTCAGGGTTATATTCATTGAAACGTAGGGTGAAGTAGTTTTAATGATAGAAGATACACATGAATAATTCTGACCACAATGTAATTTTCTGCTTTATGTAAAAAAAAATAAATTTCAGACATAAGCATACTGTAGTGGAATACATGAAATAATAAAACAATAAATATTAGTGACCAAAAGAAAAAAAACCATAAAAAAACAATCTTGTATGCTGGACAAAAATTCATTCTAGAGGAAATTTCCTTGGGGTTGAGGGTGCATTGTCAGGCATGATCACTTTGAAACAATAGTTAAAATCTTAGAGACCTGGTTATCTTTTCCATTAATTGAACCTATGGAAATATCTACTCTCTTATTTATTTATTTTTAAATAGTAGGTTAATTCAGGCCGTTTTACTGTAAGACCTATACATTTTTACCCGGTTTTTATTTATTTATTTGGCCATGTATATCAAAGAAATAATCCAGGAAATAAGTACAATTTTTATTTTTAAAACCACTTTATAACAGGAGCATCTTCAACAAATATTTTAGTTGTATTAAAAAATAGTTACCATCTTTCTTTGATTTTTAATAATATTTTTTCATATTAGCCTTTACTCTCATTTAATTAGTTTCTCTTATAAAATTCTCATTCCCAATTGCATTATTATAACATGCCACTGTTTGTGATTCTGTGAAAGTCTCCTGGAAGGTAAAGATATTTTTGTTGCTATAGATATGATGGATATACAAAGCCTTCTTCCTTGGCTTTACCTTGTTAAGAAGATAACATCACAGATTTTCTGCAAAGGATTTAAAGAGGTAATGAAGAGGGACTTAAAAAGTTTTATAATAATTTTGAGGACAAAATAAGCTGGATAAAACAATGCCATAAAATTTTATGGTTATAATGTAGTTGTTCTGTAAAAAAAAAAAAACACATTCAGCTTAAGCACAGTTGCTCTTGAGTTAGAGAATTTCATTTTATGTAGAATTTAATGTGTTTAAAAGGTAATATTACAAGCTAATATCCCATATTAGTGACCAAAAGAAAAAAACCATAGTTTTTTTTATTGGACATGGATAGTATGGGACATGTCCTATACTATCTCTTTTACTTTGTAATTGGCACCATCATTGTTTGCAAATCCCCTAAAATGTCCACCCATTTATGATTAAGTTGTATCTTTAACATTACGTACATGTGAAATTCTTTTTTGTAACTTAAATTTTAAGACATTTAAAATTAGACTTTATTTTCTCTAAAGATATATTTCAGTGCTTGGTCAGAGAAACATTATACTTATTGTTTATGTCTATCAGGTTCTCTTATAAAATTAAACTTCTTGGGTCATAATTTAATTAATAATCTTTTACTGAATATACCGTATTTATTTCCTCAAGTTCCTTTGAACAAATGAACATGACTCACTGGAATCTGCTGTTTGGCAGCTTTGATTTTGAAACCACACTTCTCTATGTAATTCAGGCTATATAAAAATTTCCTCCTTAATTATTTTCCTTGCTTTTTCCATGTTTTTGTGTATGTATATGTGTCAATTTACATTTATAATATTTTAACATCACTGGGAAATTGCATTCAATTTATCTGTTAACTGTAATAGTAGGTTCCAACCATTATTTTCTGTTTTGCCTCTTAAGTTTTTTTCAGTTCTTCTTTTGGCAACTTGATTTAGTATTTCTGTATCTCAGTTTTTCCTGTTATTGTGCATGATAAAAATCATATTCTGCTCCATTAGGGACTTTGTGAATAATTGCTGAGTGACAGTAAATTCTTTCCATATATAATAGTAGGACAGCGATATTATTTAGTATTACAAAGCATACGTATGTGTGGGCTCTCCAATAAGTAAATGTGTTCCAGTAATAATAGATGCTTATATTTTTACCTTTCAGAGAATGTGTATGTTCTGTTTTTGTATATAATTATTTCTAGAATATGTGGAACAAAAAAATTAATTTGTTGAAACATGTTCTTCTAAAATGATTAGACTGACCTATTCCTGCTAGATACAGGAAATGCAAAAATTGTCAAGGTCTTAAATAGAAAGATGGTTGATAGTATCTATGGACTTTTTAAAAACAGTGTTTCCTTTTTTGCCATCTACCTTTTAAATTTAATTAAAAGTTATCTGGGAAGTTTCCAATTAAAATACATTTCTTTATTTAGTGAAATTAAATGGTAAAGGCCAAATTGAAACCCTGACTTGGAATTGTACCGTCGTTTTAGGTATTTATCTCTGTGATGGATGTTTTTTGTTGGAGGTAATTATGGGCCCATTTAGTGTTATCTTATTTATTTTTATTTCCACAGTTCCTAGCACATTTAATACTCAATAAATGCTTGAAAATGAATGACTACTCCACATAAGTAATGACTCACTATTCTTTGCTGAATTAATACAAAACTTTTAGTATTATAATTTATTCCTAGAACATATATACTTAATATAAGTATTTGATGAAGATGTTTAAAAAGTTTAATAAAGGAGAATTCCTTTTATGTCACTAAAGAATTTTTTTTTTCTGTGTATTAGGTAAGGAAATAGAAACCACAGATTTGAGATCAATTAGTTGATGCATCATTGTAAAATAAAAATTCCTCTCTTTAAACATATTTGATTTTTAAAAGATTTTAGAGATAGGTGAGCCTTCTCTAAATCTTTATCAATCAAAGTGGGAATAACACTAAATATTTAGACCTCAAATTTTATCTTCACTGTGCAAACTCAATGCAATACATTTTTTTTTAACTTAATAGGAGATAGGGAAGAGAAAAAAGGTGTCCTAAAACGAAGAACCCTGGCATCTTTAATATTTTGTATTGTGGCCATTACTCAGAGGGTAGGAAGTGATCTATGAAGCTATTTTGCTTATATAGCTAAATTCAAACTATGAAGTGCCTGCTGTCTCCTCCTTATTTGAGTATATGGCAAATTATATAGGTATTGAACCATTTCAGTTACAAGAGTAGATGTCTGTGTTGTCTCTTAACAATGTTGTTGGCACTCTTCTTTATTTCACATTTTAAATATCTGGCCTCTGAGTGCTTTACTCAAAAGTAAATTGGACTGTATCATCAGTTATTAGGAGCACCAGAAAGAATGCATATGTATCACATTTTTATTTCAAATATTAGTTTTTGATTTTACAGATTCTTTTATTTTTAATTACTTTTGCTTTTCTAATCTGTATGCAGTTTACTGTAGTGCCTGGGTCATAGTTGAAAGAGTATTTTCTCCCATATATTTGATTAGATTAAAAGTGAAGTTAAAATTAGTTAAAACTTTAGTTACTATATTCATAGAACATCAGATCACTTAAAATGGTGTAGGTTACTTAAAAAAACATGAAACCTAGTTTTATCTCTTAATCTTAATTTTATATATTTCTTAAAACAAATTTTATATATTTCTTAAAACAAATTTTATATATTTCTTAAAACAAATTTTATATATTTCTTAAAACAAATTTGTTTTAAGAAATTTTATATATTTCTTAAAACAAATACAATGAGTTTTTTTTATTGTATGTATTTGCTACTTTATTTCTTGTGCAGTTTATCATATAATCATATTAATGATAAAACTTGCATATTCAGGTAGGAATATCAAGATTGTAAAGTGATGGTGCAAAGGTATATTATTTAGATACTTAAAAATTAAAACTTAGAAACAAATATGTTTTAAAATGGCTGTGTGTTCTATTAAATTTCAAATGCATTAAAAACAGACGTTTTCTTCACAAAGACATTTCTGGATAAACTTTTGTTTCTATTCTTTACCTCTAACAGCAGTTTCAAAGATAGGTTTCAGG